GCCTGGGTTGGACCCGGGCCGGGCCTGGGTTGGACCGGGCCGGACCTCGGGCCGCTGCCGTGGCGAGCGGCCCCGGCCGAGCGCTTCACACCCGCCGGCGCCGGGCACTGAGGAGGCGCCCTGGCCCCGGGGCAGCAGCGCACCCGCAGCCCCCCACCCTGTCCCAGCCCTCCAAGCTCCCCCGGTTGTGGCACGGAGAAGCAGAAATGAGCTGGGAACCACTCAGGAGATGTCACATCTATCTAACAAGTTTCCAAATGAAAACTAGCGTTTGGACTTACTGCATTCAGGCTCAAAATTTGATTACATTTTTCTACAGCTGTAAATCTGCTTTCCTTTCTGCAACATTATTATTAAAGCCAGTATTGAATTGGTGGTGTGATACGTAAAATTTCAATCCTGGCTTTGACATTCCAGGAAGTTAAAAACCAATTACAGTGTGTGCTTTGCCTCAGGACAGAATGAATCATTGAACACAGCCACTTCACCGAGAGAAATTAAAGGCTGAAGCAGCAACATGGGGAAGGTATTACGTTAAAAATCAAAGGTCAATTAAAGAAAAACGGAGTCTATTTTATTTTTACTATTTTGCTTACATTTTCATTCCTTTCTGATGATCAAGGAGACAAAATAAACCTGCACTTTTATTTATCTGCCAGGTAATAAATCCGGGCTGAAGCTGGTTTCAGGAGCTGAGAGGAAACACTGAGGTGATAAAAACTCCCAATAACCAGCATTAACCTCACTGTAACGAAGCCAGCACAGCAACAGGGCAGCACCTGCCCTCCCTGCAGCGGCGGCCGCCCGCGGCAGAGCGAGGGTACCCAGGGGACAATGGTCCCCGTCACTGAGCCCACAGGGTCCCCTTTGGCCCAAGCTGGTCCGTGCCACACGGGGACGGGGTGTGGAAGAGGGTGCAAGGCTGCACCGTGTCCTGCAGCCAGCCTTCCTGGGGACTGCGGAGCCCGCCGGGCCCTACAATGCACACCACTCCATAAATCAGCGAAGCACCTGCCCGCTCCCTCCCTGAGAGCTCAGAGGGGATGTCACAGCCCAGGAGCCCGTCCAGCCCGGGGCAGCCGCCGCCAGGCTCGTCCTGAGCAGGCGGGACAGGAGCTCTGACCCCGCGGGCGCCACCCGGGCAGGGCCCGGCGCTCACGGTGTCCCCAGAGCACCGGGCTGGCCCCGGGCTGCGGCAGGAGGTGCTGACCCCTTATCGCCCGTACTGCCTTGCTCGGCAGCAGCTTGTCAGCGCAGACGCCTTCAGCGTGAGCTCTAATAGATAATGCACACCTCGAAATGCAGTCTATCATCTGCTCGTTACCCTCAATAAATCATTCGCAGAATGTTAAAATGCTTCAAGGCTGTCCTGGGGGCTCCAGGAATTGCTTTGCAATGTGCACACTCTGCCTGCTACCGGAGCAAAGGGATTCGGGGCAGCAGCCGCGGCCACGGCGATATTCAGGCTGAGCACAGGGCTGTGGGGCAAGCCCCCGGCCCGCATTACACTGCCAAGGCAACTGACCCCGCTCTGGAAACTCATCCAGGCTGTTGGGAAAGGCACCCGTTCTCCAGGGAGCCGGTCCTGCGAGATTAACAACGGGAGCGTTCGGCGGAGTGCTCACATCCATACGGAGCTGAGCCGCAGAGACAGCGAGCGAATGTATTCGCAGACAATTTAGACTCATTTCAATAAAGCCACGATTAGACGGCAGCAAATGGCGGGGAGAGCAGCTGTTACAGCAGCGGGACACCCAGCACAAGGTGACACGGCCAGGCAGGGACACGGGGCTGGCCGGGACACGGGGCTGGCTGGGCTGGGAGCAGTGGGATGCTCAGGAGCCCCTGCCGGGGCTGGGGCTGGGCTGGGAGTGCAGGTGCCTCCTAACCCCAGGGACCTGCTCCAAAGGACCCCACGCCCCCAGAGCTGCAGGAACAGCCCAGCGGGATAAAGGCCCACAGCTCTGGGAGTTCACAACCAGCCTTGATCCGCACAGCCACCGGCATCCATCAGCAGGGAGAGCCCCACAGGGGGCTGGGGGAGCTGAGCAAGGACGTGAAAGAGCTGGGGAGGCTGCCCAGCACCAGAGCCCTCCACTCCCAGTGGCCTCCTGCCACTGCAGCCCCAGCCCAGCTGCTGCCCTCCAGCTCCTGCCACAGCAGTGAGACCAAGCTCCAGGCAGGAGGGGACATATTACGGTCCCAGGACCTGTGGGGCCAGGGGACCCCAGTCAGACCCTCAAACCACTGTGTGAAGGGGCACAGGAGACCAGAAAGGAGACCCCCACATCTCCAAAAGCCCCTCAGGCCTCCCCTGCCCACAAGGTAGGCCAGCCCAAGGGGCTTCTAATGGTCCCTTTTCCCCAACAGCCCATTCCCCTGACCTGGGGACCCACTGTAAAATGGTAAATCCACCTTGGAATCAGCCAGAGGCTGATATTGCCATTTCTTATTAAAAGCTGGGGTTTTGCTCTACGATGGACTAGTTTTATGTTCCCATAAATTGCCAACAGTTAGCCAGATCCCCACAGAGCCAGGATCGATACCTGGCTGAGGGGAAAAAATGCTGAGGAAGGAAAAGCAATACTCCAATTAGAGCAAAATTTAAGAGTCCAGGGGTAGGGGTGACAGTGCCTAATGTGTTACAATTTATTGACAGCCTCCCAAAGCTTGGGTTCTGTTCTGGCCCTCAGAGGCAGGCAGGGGTCCCACCAGGCAGCAGCAGCAGGGAGTTGCACACCCACTCTATGCACCCTCAGTCCTGACTGGCACAAGCACTGACCATTGCTGTGTGGTTTGGCATGTCCAGCCAGACACAGGGTGCTCTTGGCTCCCTGGTTCATTCAGCAGCAGGGCAGCTCCGCTGGTGCCCCCTGAGCTGGCAGTAGCCACCCTACAGCCCACGGGACAGGTGACACCGACCAGGCTCTGGGGGCACAGGGACCAAGGAAACCACCCGGCACTCCCCACCGGTGCTCCTCAGAGCCACCCCCCTCCCCAGGGTGTCAGAAACCTGAGCCCAGCTCTGCAGTAGTCTAATCCCAGTTAAACACAGCATAATCCCAGCCCGGGAGGGACATCTGGGAGCCCCAGCCCTGGGCTCCCCTCCCGACCCCCCTCTAAGCATGATCCTGCCCTGCCCGCCCCATGCCCCAAGTGCTGCCCACGGACCCTCAGAGCGGGAGGCAGGAGCACCGAGCACTCGGAGATCAAAGCTCTCAGCTGTTTTCCACCGACCTCGCATCCCCCTCCCAGGCAGGCTGCAGGATGGCAGTGGGCTCTCTGTTAAATCCTGTGGCCAGAAAAACCCAGCTGGATTGGAGAAATGTTGGCAAATATAATAAACACAAGTACATTAACTCTAATTCTGTGAAGCCTTCGGCTATATTAATCTCTCTTTAATGTAATCACCTATAAATAAATGATGACCCCATGATTTAATATGACATCTGCCATCCCCATTTCTACACAAGCTGTGAAGCAGTGCCTCTGGTACACGGTAGGGGTGGGACTCGTGTGTGTGACCAGCCAGGGCAGCAACCAGCGCCCGGGGGCTCAGCTCCAGCTCACCGTTCCCAGCAGGATGGATGGGAACACAGACCAAGGCTCCATGGCAGGGGCCAGGCGTCCCCCAAGGCCCTGGGACCCGTGGGGGCAAGGGGTGAAGTAGCACAGCTGCTGACAAACACACCAACATCAGCATTTCTACAACCACCGCCAGGCAGGGGGAGACCAGGACAACCCATCTAGGGATTTAGGGAACAAGGGGGAGTCGCTGACAACCTCCCCTTTGGTGAGTGCTGAAGGGCATGGGGCACACACTGATAACACTGCTCAGCTGGGCAACAGTCCCCTCCTGCAAAAACACGCACAGAGGAGAGAGAAAAAGAACCCTTGAGAATCAAAAATTGTGTTGGAAAGTGAGTGTGTAAAGCCCAAGCCAGCCCCTGATGCACTGATCCGAGGGCTCACTGGAGCAGAGGATCCAAGTCCACAGCAGAAAGGGCCGCAGGCTCGGGGGGAACACATCATCTTCCATCCTTCCTCCCAGAGGAGAGCCTCGATGGCCAAAGCCTTCTGTGCCTCGTTTGCCCTGAGACTGGGCAGCCAGAGCAGCTCTCCCAGCCCAGGGTGGGTCACTGCAAACAATCCCCAAGGACAGAGGCTTTCCATTCAGCACCCAGGAGAGGCAGCCTGTCCTCCTCCTGCCTTGCTCCATCCTCATCCTCGCTGGGCTGAGGTGGGTAGCAGCAGGAGCAGCCCATCCACGCTCTCCTCTGCGTCTGGAGCCACCGCTGCACTCCCTGCTAAAGGAAAAACAGGCTTTCATTAGCACAGAGCTGGAGGGGCTTCACGCCTCCAGCGTCTGGTGATGGCAGAAGGCCCTCAGGCCACCCTGGCCCTCGACACCTTTGGCCTGAGGATCTCCTGGGCATGTGGGGATCTGGCTGGGGTCTCCTGGCCCCAAATGCCAGAGGACCTGGGTCCGTGTGTCCCTCCTGTCTGGAGCTTGGCCTGACTGCCGGGGGTGCCAGGGCACTGCTCTGGCACCAAGGAGCCCCTTCACGTGGGGGGCTGAGCCCCGACACGAGGCACGGGTGGGTGGGCAGGGAACAGTCCCACTCTGCCTGAGCAGGTGTGAGCCCTCCAGCGCCAAACCCCATCGCCTCCCGCTGCCCTGGGCTCCCGAGCAGACTCACCAGCAGGCTCGGGCGCAGGTCCCACACCGCTCTCGGGCTGTGGCTGAGCCCTGCAGCACCTGGACTGACGGTCTGTGGAGAGAGAAGCATCAGGAGCAGCCCGGGGGAAGGAGGAGCCCGTGTCTCCCCTCCCCAGCACGCAGGCTGTGCCAAGCTGGCTCTGGGGTTGTCTCCCCAAAGCAGCCCTGGGCACTCAGGGAAGCCCCCAGGGCCGTGCCCCAGCCTGGGTCCGGAGCAGGCAGGGCAGGAACACGGCAAGGCTGAAGCCTGCAGCCTGGAAAAACGCTCACTCAGGCAGGATGCCTAGTAATAAATTTATTGTATTTTATTACATATTCCCCTTTTTGCACTTAATTCCAATTCCTCATATTCAAACTCTTCTTTCTGAAAGAAAATGATTTGTAACATAAAAATATAAATTCTGCATATTAAAAGTGCATACACCTCGAATAATAAAACATACAAATAAATAATAAAAGGCATTGACACAGTCTCATGCAGTTGTCCTCAAATAATTTAAAATTTATGGTACAATGTTCAACCCCAAGTAGACAGCCTGCTTTCCAATTACTGTACAGGTCAAAAACATTAAAATACAGAAGAGAATATCAAAGGTGTGGGAAAGCCCCACGTCCCTGTACCAGGTACAGTGATGTGACATGCAGTTTGAGAACTGTAGATATTCCAGTGTAAAATCTGACATTGTGTCCAGAAGAGAAATTGCATTTGCAACAGGACTTAAAATTCAATTTTAACCAATGGTGAGGCACAGGTGGTGAGCGAATCTGTACAAACTCATACTTGGAAGGCCACAGGACGATAACGGAGCCACTGGTGGCCGGGATTCCCGGGTGTTACCCTACCAAGGCAGTGCAGCACCTCCCAGGGGGTTATTGCACTCACAAAGGGCACACGAGCCTGCGGCCGGCGCTGCAGGGCCCGGTGAGCCACGACTGGTGGTTACGCTTAGTTTTAATCTGTGTCTTTTAAAAAAACACTATTTGCAGATAAATTGAGTGCTATCATCTTTTAAAAAGTAGAGTTCCTAAGCCTTTAGATCTAACACAGACATTGTACAAGCCTTCAGGTGCTTTTCTTTTACAAAATAAAGCTCTTAACAGTAACTGCTTTAGGATGCTTTTGTTGAGAAAACCACGTAGGACTTTCATCTCACCACAGATTAAAACTAAATTTCAGTTCCCTCCACAGGTATCATTAGATACTGCCAAATTCTTTTGGATTAGTAGGCAAATAACAAAGATTTTAAAAAATCCAACCGAACTAAAATTAAAAAAAAAAACAAAACAAACAACACCCAAGAGTGAAATTATTTGGAATGTTGTTTCCACACCCTGTCCACGCCAGCTGACCCAGGGGAGGGTAGCAAAGCTGCAGGGCAAGGAGCAGGAGGAGGCCTGGGACTGCAGGAAGCCCAGGCCAGCTGCCCTGGCCATGCAGCACACACGGCCGCCCCGGGCACCGCTGTCCAAGCGGGCACGGCCCCAGCGCAGCAGCTCTGGAGCACGGACAGGCAGCAGGGGCTCCCAGGAGGGCAGACCAAGCCCCAGCAGCAGGGTGGGCAGCAGAGGCCAGCAGGGACCCGCGCCCCTCGCACGGACACTCACAGCAGCTGTGTGCCCCCCGCCCCTCCTCACAGCCCCTCGCGTGCACGCAGCCACACACAGAGCCACACACAGAGCCCCAAGCAGGCTGCCCTGCTAACAAAATAAAAACAACACAAAATAGAAACCAGCTTGTTCTTATTTCCCTGCTCCAATCCCTCTAACCTTACGTTACGCTCCAGCCCGGTCAGTAACGCAGAGTCCTGCAAAGGAAAGAGTCAAAGATGTGCAAAGGAAGCAGGGAGCCAGGGACATGCTCCTGCGTGCCAGCAGCAGCTGCACCTCGAGGCACAGCTCAGCCTCCAAGCACGGCCACGGCTGGGCTAGAGGCTTGCATAGTTAGTAGGGACATGCATCGGGGACAGCACGGCCATGCAAGCTGCATCCCACCGAGGAACATGGTTGGGCATGCTCAAGTTTCAGCTTCAGAAAGCAAAACCCCTGCAGCGACGGCGGATGAGGGCACTTGCAGTGCGAGAAGTGCAATTAAGCTGCTAGCTTTCTATCCTAAGCATCTTGTTTTTATTAATTCATATTTGATAAGTGTGAAAGGGTTAACAATTTACACACCCAAAGTGAGACACAAGTTACAGAGAACTGCAGGCACCAAATTGTCTATCAAATGTGATTAATACAAATAAAAGGTGCCTCTTCAATACACGTCATTGAAAATGTGCTTATAACTTGAATACTACTGAACACTGTCCAAAAGACACAGCCCAAAAAGGGTAAAAAAAAAGTCTCTAGGTGACTCCTGTGGGAATTGAGCACTGGAACAAAGGCGCTGCCCTCCTGCACCCAGAGGGCCAGTTCCAGGAGCAAGTGGCAGACTAGGGACGTGGGGTGAAATGCAAGTCACACGCTGGCACAGGCGACTCCAACCCGCAGCTGACTGGAAACACTGCCTGAATGCCTGCTTTGCCTTGGAGCTCCCCTGTCTGGGAGCAGGGACTCTGCTGGGCCTCCCCCTTCCCAGGCATTTCCCATCACCACGAGGCATGCCTTAGCCTCCAAGACCTTGGCAGGAAGGTGCCAGACCCTGCCATGCCCCACCAGGCTGGGCAGGACAGACCTGGCAGCAGCTGCTCCCATCGCACTCAGATGCCCATGAGACTTCCAGGCCCTACATGCCACCACCCAGGGGAGGCAGAGGTCCCTGGGCAGCAGCAGCCTCTGGGAGATGGCAGAGCCCACCTCCCCCACAGCCATGAGTGCTTCTGATGGCCAACGGGAACTTTAAGACATGGCCATGTACATGCAGCTGCTCCAGAACAGCCTCAAGCCATTGCTGCTTGAAGGATCCATATGCAAAGCCACGGTGGTGTTGGCATCTAGGACTTGGCAGATCCCTCTCTGGAGTGTTCCCTGGTACCATGCCACATCCTGGCAGCTGGACAACACAATACCACGGACAGGAGCTCCTACACAGGAAAGGGACAAGAGAGAAGTCTGCTTTATAGCAAGGAGAGAAGACTGATGATTCTTCCCCAAATCCCTTTAAGTAGGGCCTGTAATAACCTACATTCCATTTCAGAAACATTTATCCTACTTCATTGATGGAGTCATGACTGTAACAGCAACAAGGCTTTGATTAACACTCCCAGCGAACGGTGTTTCCCACACCCACACCCTTCAACCCTTGCCTGTGCAAGGAAGTTCATTTACTACTGCGTGGTGTGTGACACCACCACTGAGTGTCACACAAGATGTGTGACACCAGCAGCAGAGATGTGGAGTGACAGAGCAGCTGTTCCCAAGGGCCCTGGCACAGGCACGGAGCAGGGACCCCACTCCCACAGGCTCATGCACACGCTTCAAGTGTGTCTTATGTCCCGCACAAACTCTGGTGCACCCTGGTAAGTCAAACCATTTTCCCTGAGGACATCCCAAGCCAAGTCCTCCCGAGCAGAAAAGCCACCAGAGAGGAGCACACCCCACCTGCTCAGAGATGGGGGTACTGCCAGTGCAGCCCCTCCTGCCTACTCACTCTCCTCCGCAGAGCAAGGAGCCTGTGCACAGAGCTGTTGCTCCTGAGGGACAGAGAAATCCAGTTTGGCTGCATAAAGAGAGCAGATAGTGCTGGAGCTGGCAGCAATCAGCATCAGGAATTATGGAGAATGTGCAGCAGGAGAGTGAGATTGGCATCTCATGGGACTGCAGAGGTTTAGGTACTTTTATCAGCTGCTGGAATACCAGGACCTCTATCTCCCTTCTACCCAAAGGAGAGCTCCGAAGACCATTGTCTTGCTACAGATACAAACACTGAACTGGTGTTCAGCTAAAACATGGGTTTGGACATGGCTTCAAATTCCCTTCAGTCAGGAATGCAGCACAGGAGCAAAACCACCTCAAAACCCACAGACCAGCTTCCAGTTTAAACTCCTTCTGTGAAGGATGACATGAAAAAAAAAAAAAAAGTCATTTGATAAAAATAACCTTTCACAAATGTCCATGGCAAAACGCACAGAAAGTAGTTCTGTCTATTAAAAGATCCCAACCCGAGTCAGTGTAAGCCACCGGAATTACATTCTTGCTAGAAGAGTTGTTACAAGAGAAGAGCCAAGACAGTGCAAGACCTTAATACAGATAAAACCTTAAACAAATACTTCAACATCAACATCTCAGGGAGTAATTTCAGTACTGCAATGTGAAGCAAGTCTTATCTGCTCTGCTGGATATAACAGAAAATAATCCAAGAATAATCCAAGTCATACATTTCAGAAGCAAGCACTGCAATCTTTGCTTCTTGTTGCTGCAATAAATGAGACTGAAACAATGCCTGAGCGAAGGAATGCACTGAGGGGATATGTTTGGGTTGAACACTCAGGGCACTACACCTGCAGGCTGTGGGCACGTTGGAGCACGTCACGGGGATGCAGCAGGACACCACCAGGACGCTGCAAGGGTTCCATGGCAGGTGGGCTCATCCCCACACACTGACCCAGCTCCATGGCACTCCCAGTTCAGCCCCACACACATGAGGAGCCAGCTACCCCCAGCCCTTCCCTCCCAAGTCTGCTGCAGGTGTGTGGTGAGCAGAAAACTGATCATAGAGCAGCAAGGTGTCCTGCAGGGCAAACAGGCCCTCAGCAAGGGAGGTGGCAGAGGCCAGTTTGTTATGCTGATGGGACAGAGCACACATGTGCCTGGCCCCAAGCCATGCCCAGAAAAGCCCTGCCACTGGACAGGCACAGACCTCACTCAGCAAAGAGCGTGCCCAGCACATTGCCCAGTTTGCCACAACCTACACGACAGGCTGTGCACATAAAGAATATGCAGCACATCAATAAAATCTCATGGAATTTAAAAAAAGGATTACACCACATACATGTAAAAGGACTTAAGAAATCCACCTTAAGAGGAACCTTACAGAACTTGAGGAATCTCCCCTGTAAGAAGGGCATGTAAACAAAGACATCAGTAGATGTAGTGTTTTGACCCTAATGGAGGTTGTCCTCCAAACAAGAAGGGGAACCTTCCACTGAGGGACATGTGGCAGCCAGACCCATGGGGAGGGGACAAGCATGCCAGAGGGAAGAATGTACAGCACTCTCAAACAGAAAAACTGCCCCTCCAACGCACACAAAGGGGCCTGTCAAAGCATGCTCAGAAAAGGCAGGATGACACTCGATCTAAACATCACCCCTAGAGATAATGGAGGCTTAATTACACCACTGTGATAAGGGTCTGAGCACATTGGGAAATGCTTCCCAGGCATTTGAACAGGGGCATCCTGATAGCATCATGGCCATCCAGGTGTGTGGACAGAACTCTCCCATGGCACTGCTTCCACAGGACAAGCAGGCCAGCAGCTGCTGCCCAGGGATTTCTTCTGTTGTTTAGTAGAGCATTTCAGAAGAAAGTAGTGAAACAGGACAGACTAGAGGTTGCCTTAGGTATGGACAAAGCAAAACTCTTCACAGACGCAGCAACAAAAACTGCAGGTTACATTTCAAACTTCCTGCTGTTGGAATGCAAAAATGAAATCTATTACACAGACGTGCATAGAGACACACAGGTACCTTTCTGTCCGTCACTAATGCTAGTCCCTCCTATACTGGCTGAGTATATACCTGAGAAACAACATTAGTGTTGAAATATTGCCCTTTAGAAAGCTTGGAAATGGAGGGGAGCAGGGACAGAGAGTTGAGAGCAGAAAGAAGCGACAGTCTCTCCAGTTTCCTTCGCATCCTCCACAGCTCAGAACAAGGCCATACACCAGTGTGGACACAGCCCACTCAGAACAAGACCAAAGGAATATCAGTTCACAGCTCAACAAAGCACACCAGTGTCAGTACAACTGGGGGTCAGGTCCCAACCCTCAAATCTGAAGAAAGTTGTTGCACTTTCAACAGAGACTGTACAAGTGCTATGGGACAGCTGCATTCGTGTTCAACAATGACTCCAGCTAGGCTACTTGCACCAGTGCTGGCTGCCTGTGGCTATTTGGTTTGATGGCAGAATCAAAGGCGCTTTAACAACTTGCAGTTAACTTCTCCTCAAAACATACATTAGGCACATGAACAAAAAACAAGAGCTCAGAATAAATTAGCTTCTCAGCAGAAGAAAAGACACCTGGATTGCAGCATTTCACTGAGGTTCCAGAGAAGGCCGTACAGACACCTGCATGCTGGAAGGTAATTTTTTCAGCGGCTTGTCAGCAGACTGCTTGCCACTGGAAGGAGGAGACTGGACTCCAGGATCTAGCTGGGAAGACTTGGACTTGCGACTGGATAACAGAGAATGTTTGTTAGATGTGGCATCTTTTGAGACAAGTTTTTCTTTTGTAGTGATGTTGGCATTGGTTTGAGAGGCTGGTGGGGCACCACCTTTCTCTGGTTTGTCCTCCAGCACATTTTTACTGCCTGACTTGGAACTAACACTCCCTGTCTTTTTTGAAAGCATTGTTGTCTTGCCCAGGTCTGCCGACCTCCGCGTCTCCTTCTGCCTTAAGGCCGATTTAAAGAAAGACAAACCCTTCTCTTCCGACTTGCTGTCCCTCTTCAAGCCGGAGCGCGCCGCAGCGTTTGGGGAGCGCAGGTTGGCCATGGAGGAGCTGCGCACGTGCCTGCTGTCCGCCGGCCTGCTGTCGCTCCGGGAGTGGCTGATCCGCGGGGAGCTCGTCCTGGAGCTGCTGGTAACGCTCGTCTTGTCCGACCCCAGACTGACCTTGGAGCCCTCCCGGCTGAGGCTGCGCTCGCAAGTCCGGCTCTTCCCCGAGGAAGAGCCCTTAGTCAATGGGCCTGATGGGGTTTTCTTGGCAGCCGTGGAGGATGGAGAAGAACCTGACTTCTGCTTCTGTGCAGCTGAAGGGACAGATGCCTCCAGGGGCTTTGTGCTGTGGTCCTTCCTAGCTTGCGTGGGAGCAGGAGACCCGTGTCGCCCGCTGACCCTAGAGGAGTCTGTCTTACTTCTAGACCGAGAAGCTTTCTGGGAACTCTTCAGTGGAGGAGAAGAGCGAGAGACTTTGGTCTCTTGGGTAGCTAAGACTGTCCTTCCCTTCCTCAGACTTTTGTCTGGCTCAGAAGCTCCTTTGGAGCCGTGACCCTTCCTAGGGGTGTCATGTACCTTCTCCGCAGCCAGCCCTGTCCCAGCTGAGGCTTTCGCCTCCTTCACTGGGGAGCTGTCCACAGAATCACTCTGGTCAACAAAGGCGATTTGATTGTTGTTATCAAAAGGGTCCAGAGCAGGGTGATTCCTGTCTGGCTGCACAGAGCTTTTACCATACCCATCTGAAAGGTCTGAGCTAGATGTCCTTACAACGGACTCCTCCCTGAACGCCCCTTCCATTACAGCCAGAGGGGCTCTGCGAGCTGTCCTGTGCTCTCGCCGACTGCTGTCACAGGGCTCCAAGTAGCTGCTAGAGAGATTCCTCAGGCTGCCAAAGCACGAGGTGGAAACTTTATCATCAGCAGCTTCCCCAATCTTCTCCAGAGTGGAAGCAGAGGTATGTACTGGGGAATCTCCAGAGAAGCGTGATGGGGAGTTGGAGCGGAACTGCAGTTTTGCAGAGAGTGACCACAAGGGCCTGACACCATTTTCACTCACTGCCAGTGGGCTGGTGACAGAGGATCTGGATGACAAACTCTGACGCTGGACACTCCTTACAAACGGTCGAGTTGAAAATCCTCCTGCAGAGAAAGCAAGTGACAACCTCAGTGGGAAAGCCAAGGCTGCAGCTGGTTTATCCCACCCATCCACATTTCCCCACGAGAGCCAAGCAGCCCACCCACACCATGCTATGTGTCTCTCCATGTAGGCTGCAGGCACAGCTTCTTGCACAAAAGCTGAATGAGGAATCCAACAACTGTTATTTGCTAGGGGTCACCCAGGAGTAGCTGTCTGAAGCCTCCAACTGATAACCCAGGTTCTCCTCTCATCCTTGAAAAGCAGATCAAACACAAGGTTTGCATCTCAAAAGTCCTTGAAACTGGCAAGATCACCAGCTAGGATTATGATTCTGTATTAAAGAATATTTCCTAGAGCATTCTGTGAAAGGCAAAGTAGGATTCCTACCTCTAGATCAAGTGATGTAATTGTATTTAGAAACACAAAATATAATTATTTTAGCAGTGTGACTTCCATGGCCAGGCCTGACAGCTGTCACAGCACTGCTGCAGGGATATCTCCACACCAACTTCCAAATTCTCTGACTGACCCATGAAGCTCTGGGTTCTCAGAAGTTACAAGACAATGTGTGGAGGAGCCAGGCAAAGCCAGGAACTGAACAGTAACTTGCATACATGAGTGAATTTGCATCTCCCTCCCTCCCTAGGACCTTCCATGAGCACAACAGCAAGCAATTAATACCTGTGCCAAATTCGTCAGGACTGTGTCAGCCACCCTGAAAAGGTGATGCAGTGAGACCCAGAGAGAACACAAGCACAAGAAGTTCCTGACTCAGAGATTTTGTTGATGGCATTTGCTTTCTTTGAAAGGCTCCTGCCCATTCTCCTCCAACCTTTCACATGTGACAGAAGCCCACCTGTGCTCCCACCGAGCCCGCTCTTGCCTCTCTCAGCTGCTGGAGTAACCGTTCCTTGCAGCCACAGATTTTGCAGCTGGTTTAGTACGGATCTCACAACAGAGGGACAAGCGGCCCAGTGTGTCCCAGCAGCGATACACACCGTCATCTTCGCTGCGTTCCCCGGTCAGCTCCACGGACTCCGAGAGCGAGGCCAGCGAGGTGCGGCGCGAGGAGGCGGCCGAGGCGACGCTGGGCTGCTTGCTGCCCGGGAGCCGGCTGACCCAGTGCTCGCACAGCGACGAGCTCGTGGAGCCTGCAGGGAGCCACAGCGTCAGCTGCGCGCGCGGAGCCCACCGGCCCAGCGGTCAGCACCACTGAGCTGCTCCAACCCAGCAGTCAGCACCGCTGCAGTGTGCCAGCCCAGCGGTCAGCACCGCTGCGCTGCTCCAACCCAGCGGTCAGCACCGCTGCAGTGTGCCAGCCCAGCGGTCAGCACCGCTGCAGTGTGCCAGCCCAGCGGTCAGCACCGCTGCAGTGTGCCAGCCCAGCGGTCAGCACCACTGAGCTGCTCCAACCCAGCGGTCAGCACCGCTGCAGTGTGCCAGCCCAGCGGTCAGCACCGCCACAGTGTGCCAGCCCAGCGGTCAGCACCGCTGCAGTGTGCCAGCCCAGCGGTCAGCACCGCTGCAGTGTGCCAGCCCAGCGGTCAGCACCGCCGCAGTGTGCCAGCCCAGCGGTCAGCACCGCCGCAGTGTGCCAGCCCAGCGGTCAGCACCGCCACAGTGTGCCAGCCCAGCGGTCAGCACCGCCGCAGTGTGCCAGCCCAGCGGTCAGCACCGCCGCAGTGTGCCAGCCCAGCGGTCAGCACCACTGCAGTGTGCCAGCCCAGCGGTCAGCCCACAGCTCACCCTGGATTCCACCAACACATGCAACCCATGAAAGACAACTTAGAGCCACCCTGGACAGTGCCAGCAGGGCTTACCTGCCACGGAACTGTTGGCAGACCACGAGGGGATCGCTGTGCGTCGCTGGTAGAACAAGATATAAGCGGTCTGCTTGCAGACTTCACTCTCAGAAAGTTGCTGAACTTCACTGTCATCGAAGCAGTACCACTGGCCATCAACAGAATTCTTGCAATATGCTAAGGAATAATGCATTACTGTAAGACTCTCTCACTCCTACTGCTCTCAGGTATGCTGTATGACATTTAACATAAGGTTATCTGCTATGATGGACTCGGACTATGAGAGGAACAGATGTATTCTTGCATCATCTTCCAGTCTGACTGGCAAGATGGAAGCTTGAGGCTGCCAGAACATAAACAGCTTACATTTCAGGACTTTCTTTGTCCACCATTACCACTCAGAACAGATAATTAGGGGTGGCTCTATTCACTTCACCTTCTGTAACTTGTGACACTGCTTCCATCAGTGACTCCCTTTGTGACTCCATACAGAAATAGAACCAGCTTCTCCCTGAAAGGCCCCACCACAGACAGCACAGCAGGACACTTGCCTGTATAATGTCCGCCTTGCATGGTGCCATGGTGGTTGCAGACAGCGTACAGGTCATAAATGTAGTCCTCAGGATCTCTGCCGAGGCCGTAAGGTTTCCTCCAAGGTGACCAGTGCGATGGCAAGCTCCAGCTGCTCTGGCTGCGTTTCACAACGTGAGGAGTCATATCCAAACCACTCAAGGGAAATTTAACCATGTTCTGAAGTTTCATCCTTCGGTCTCCTTCCTGTGAACAGAGAAGAGCATGAGCTGCAGAGGCCAAGGCCACCATGCCTGGGAAAACCCCAGGTGAGGAACACACAGGGCAGAATGGCTGCTTCCAAGGAGGGGAGTCTACTCACAGCACTCAGCAGTCCTCCAGCAACACTACAGGCATCCTTACCTGCCTAAACCTTTTGAGATGTATGATGAGAACATCAGGTAAGGTCCAGAGGCTCAGTGTGATGCTACCCTGCTGCAGCTGCTTACAGTGTGGGCATCGCCATGCATCATCTGGGGCAAGCTACAAGGAATAGGCAGGAGGGCGTATTGGTTTTCAAATTGCAAAGCATCTTGCACCACACCACTGTTCCTCTGCTGCCCCAAGCCCAGTGCAGACACTGACCCCTCTGCCTCATCTCCCTCCAGCATTTATAAAGCTCACTGGAGATGCAGGGTTCCCAGTGATGCTTTTCAAAGTGACAAGTAGAGATACGTGTGCCTCATTCAGGAGGCACTTCCTGCTGCAAGGCAGAATTCAGCCAGTGCTGCTGTGCAGAGGCCCTTTTTGCACCTTATAAATGCCAATGCCTTGGAAGTGGAGAAGAAAGAAAAGGAAAAACCAAGGCAAAAACCAGGCAGGTTTGGCAGTCTGAAAAGTATTCTCACAAGAAAACCAGCAGTAGGAAAAAAAAAAAAAGCAGGGATAAAAAAGCAGAAAAAAAATCAGAACAGAAAGAAGAAAGGTGTACTTTGGATGTCCCTCTGACACTTCACTGCCCTCTGGGAACCCTCTTCTTCCTCTGTAGTCCCAACAGCACAGAGTTACATACTGAAGACTTTCCCTGTCCCCAAGCCTCCCTCCACAGTCCAGTGCTCAGAGAACTCAGCAGCCACAGAGATTTAAGCTGTCAAACAACTCTTCCCCCACCTGTGAAAGAGAGAAGCTCTCAGATTATTACAGCTCAGCCTGGGTCCAAAGACTACCTCCAGACGAGCCCTTTGTACAGCAGATTAGAGACTACCAAAGGAATTCAGATGGCTTCCCTGTGTCAGGCAAGGGCCAGGTGAGAGCTCTCTCTACCTGCCTGGGGCACACCATCACTCCTGTCTCTTCAGCCTCACACAGTGAGCAGAGCCAGAGCAGGGGAGCAGCCACGTCCTGCAGAACTGTGCTGCTGTCACTGTCACTGTGCTGCTGTTTGAGAGGTCCCATTCAGTGGTGCCTGCCAGGGCCCACCAGCCCTGCTCAAGCCTGGGAACACACAATTACTCCAGAACACTCCCATGAAGCCACATTTTCCTAACCCTTTATAATATTTACAAATTTCACAGAAGGAAATTACCAAAGAGAGAACTAAGTTCTGGTATCAACATTTGGGCAGCAAAGAACCCAGCAGCAGGACCTCCCACAACCTTCTCACTGCAGAGGAGCTCTGCTAACAGCACAGATAACTAATCTTGTATTACAAATCTATTCTCCTGTCACACGGAATCAATGAAGATTGAAGCACAAGCAGAAAAGAGCTGCCTGGGGTGAGGGAGTTCCTGCAGCATGTGAACAAGCCAGAGTACACAGTCTGTATCTACCTGTTCCTCTTTGGTGTACAGTTGGAAACACTGAGATAAAGTGCAGATCTGAGGTTGATGATGAAGCTCTCTCTGCTGGCGGACGCTTTCAGAGTCTGGAATATATTCCTCTTCTGTATTCACAAACAAGCTGCATCAGGGAGACACCACATTTACCAGCACATCCCCTTGCTCCCCAGGCTGTCCCTGCAGATAGGGGCTGGGCACACGTGGACTTTGAGTGGTCTCATGTTTGCTGAAGGATGCACAGTTCATACAAGCAAGCTGCAAGCAGCAATTGTGAGGTGAACACAGTTTAAAGCTTTTGCTCCATACTTACTAATCTTTAGTTTCTTTGTCCCATTCTACCACTAATTTCACATGAGCAGTTCCCCCCTGTCCGCATGACTTCAATGCCCTGCAGGGAGGAGCAGAAATAAGTCAGACCATCTTCCAATCCAAAGTCTACATCATCTTCTACATGCATGTAATTTCACTCCACAAGCCCTTCACCCTTCCTTCACTCCCACAGCTGAGGTTTGCAAAGGAGCAAAAGGAATTCACACAGCAAAACACTTGGCAAAGCTGGTAAATGCTTTCACCCAAGTATGTGAGTTCTGTCAGGCAACATACACTTGTTACAGAACAGGCATTTACCAACATTTCAAAGAATAACAGGCACAAGAAAAAAATTTAAATAGTGAGAGTAATATTTTCATTCTGTTCTCCATTTCCAGGGAGGACAGACTACAGATGGCATGACACACAACTGAGGTATTCTCACACAGCTTCCTAAGGATGCTCCCTCATTTCCCTGCTCCTCAGGCCTCTGCAGAGCATTCCACACATCCACACCAGGACCATTCATTTCTGCATGGCAAACGCCGAGCTCCCAGCTAACACACCTCTCTCCACTCTGGGAAGCACCCAGCACACGAGGGCCAGCTCACCTTTCCACGGTTGGGTGGCAGAGGGGTCGCTCCTCCTGAGGTAGCAAGTATGTTATGCCCACAACACTGACCACTCGCAAGCTGAATGGGCAAACCTGCAAGAGAGAGAACAGAGACCACCTCAGCGGCTCCAACCCAACCTGCCCACCTGCCCACTGGCTGGGCAGTGAGCTCAGACTTTACCCTAAAACACATTTGACATGACAAAGCAAACACAGGAGGTCTCAGATATGCCTGTGCCAATGAGCTGACAGAGGGCTGAGGTACAGCAATGCAACCTGTGCATCCAACAGCTCACATTTGCCTCACCTGCAAGCAGGCTGCAGGCCGCAGGAAATACTGCATCTTCTCCAGTATTTCCTTCTGCAGAATATCCCAAGCAATTGTTTTTTCCAAGTGCAACACAAAGGGCAAGCCAAACCTATGGGAAGGAGAAGCATTTGAGGAACAATTAAAAGATTATCCTGTTTAGCAATCAGAACCCTAAACTATACAGGAGAACTTTATGGGAAATTTTGTGAAGCTTCAGAGGCTGAGGCAGTTCTCAGGCTCCAGTTGATACAAATGCCTTTGGAATGGTTGTTTCTCACTTCTCACCCTCCCCCCATTTTCACTCCAATTAAAAATTACCACCCATAACAGGGCCTGGTCAAACATGCTGCTCTCAAACCAGACAAAGGTGGTGTATCCTCTCAACTGAGCTGCATTTGTTTCTTTTACAGTAATGCAATACTTGATGTTCACCAAAATTAGAAATATTTTGCTGCACCCATTAATACTTTTTCATCAACATGTTCTTTAGCACCTGATGTGAGCTAGGGATGCAAGCTACTGCTCCTTCACCTGGAGCCTGTACTACAGGAAAGTAAAATCCAGGTCAGTTTAGGAAGCAGCCAGAAGAGTAACTCCAACCACGCTGCTGCCAGTCACCTTTTGCTCTGCTGTCCAGTGCACGCTCTGTTACACACCAGCAAGACAATCTTGTCATTTGCTGCTAGTTTAGGACAGGACTGCTCCAGTTTTCCAGACTTCACCGTTCCTTGAGAGTAAGCTATTGTTCGGGAGTGCTCAGTGCCACATTTCAAGTTATTCAGGTTATTGTTCACATGTATTCCTGAAAAATTAGGAGAAAGGAAACATTTCATTATGACATCTGCCTTTAGTGTCCTGATGCCCCCTTCAAGAAGCCCTCCTTGGGCTACAGAGGAGCAGGTCAGTATGGAATCAGGAGCATTTTCATCACCTGGACAAAGGCTTCAAAGAGCAACTACCTTTCACAGTGACTGTTTCTTTAGAGAAGGACATTATATGCAAGTGCTCCCCATCTGATTTTTCACAGCAGGTTGTACAAGCATTCTCAGCTTTTACTGCCCGCAAGAAAAACTAAAGTGCTGAGAACACAACTTGCTACTTCCAATAATAAAATTTGCCTTTGATTACACTCCATCTGCCCAGGATACCATGATTACCTTTCACTGAGGGGACATGCAGAGGCTGAGGGAATTTGAGCTTGGAAAGAGAAAGTGTTTGTTCATTCCTGAGACTGTTTATTCATCACTAGCAATCTGATTTTAAGTAACACAATTTCAGTGGCTTCATCTGGCCCTTAGCAGGCCTTTAAATTAAGCCTGACAAGAGATTTCACATTAAGCCACCCTGGCCTGCAGCATCAGCCCTGAGAAGAGGCAGAAAGGAGTGTACAACACTGCCTGATAACCTCCCAGCTGACAACACTATTAAATCTTCTGGAATGAGCCTGGACAAAGTCAGAGCTGAAATCAATACACCAGAACATCAACAGCTTGTGGCACTCATTCTTTTCCCACACAAACGTCCCTCACTAGTCACCCGAGGTGGGCATTAAGAGTTATTGACACACCTCTCTGACTGAGGATGCCCTCAGGCCTGAAGATCTCTGGGGTCTCAAAGGCAAAAATGCAGTCACTCTCGTGGATGGTGTCCAAGTCATCCGTGTCGCAGAAGGAGCGATGGAACCCATCGTAGTACATCTCTGTCAGCACGATCTGCAGGCACCACAAGCAAACCAGAACCCATCAAACCACCCCTGCTTTCAGCTCAGTGCCTCATCTCTCAGCTGGGGTTCTCCTGCTAAGGGATGGCACTTGTCAAGACATCCTGTCATCAGCCAAGAGAAAGGAATGGGGAAAAGGATAGCCATAAACTGGGAGAAGCTGGCATAAAAGCAACATATGGAGAGGCTTTGGTGGAATTCAACAGCTTTCCTGAAGCTCTTCCTACAGAGGAATTCGCTGTAGGTGCCCAGTGGTTGCCTCACTGCCAGCATGCAGAGATCACCATGGGATCAGGCAGGTCTGCACACTGCCCTGAGGGCTAGTCCAACATCACTAGGATTCAAACAGCCAATACACAGGGAAAAGCATGATCCAGATTTCCACCACTACCTTGTTTCCCTGTTCAACCATTGGCAGCCAATTTCCATTCCTATGTATCCAACCAGGGACAAAAGCCTCCCCTCTCCTCCCACTGCAGGGTGGGAGGTGCCCACACAGGTGGGCAGCCCCGGCCATTACCTGCTCCGTGGGTATCTTGGTTTCCGAGGAGACAGCCTCCCGCAGCCTGGCCACTGTTCCGGAGATGGGCACGGCCACCCCGATGCGCATGCAGTGGGAGCACTTGCCCTGGTACACCACGGTGACGTAGAGTGGCCTGTGGAGAGCATGGGGCACTGCCAGGCTGGGCTGAGCAGCTCTGGGCACTGCCTGAGCAGCCTCAGCCCACCCTGGGCACTGCCTGAGCAGCCTCAGCCCACCCTGGGCACTGCCTGAGCAGCCTCAGCCCACCCTGGGCACATCCAGGCTGCCCACCAGGGACAGGGCCCTCCTGACTGTCCAGATCCACCTCACACCAGAGCTGCACTCAGCTGCAGCCAGACAAGGGTGTTTGATTCACACACTCCTTTCCTACTATATGGCCTGGTGTTACTTACTCCCACAAGCAGAACATCTCAAAAAAGGCCCACAAAGTTAAAACCAAAACTGTCTATGAGAAGGCAACCAGTTTTCCAGCAGGGATCCAGTGAGGAAGCTTGGGACAGTCAGTATAAGACAGCACCTTGAAGGACTTGGAGAGCTGCTACTGGGAACAGGCTGCCTCCCAGCCCTCAATCCTGCCTCCAAGAGCAGCCAGCAGCACTGCTGGGAGAGAAGAGGGAAGGGACACCTTCCCTGGACAGCCCACTCAGCCTCCACCCAGTGGTGAAGCAGGGATTTCCAGAGCAAAATGTGACAGCAATGTTTAATCTGCCCTATCATCACAATTCCATTGCTTCTGGAACCTACACAAATCTTCTGAATGCAAACACCAGGTGAAGGGGTTTGTTTATACCTTAGGTAGTTTTGCTGTGAACCTCTATCTTCACTTTGAATGTTTTATCTGGATTTTTTCCTCCCCTGAAGTTTTTTCTGTATTTGCATCAGCTGTCTTTCAAAAAAGCAAAACATTTTGCAGGAAAGATTTTTAACTTCAATTTTCGAAATTGGAGTGATCAGTGAGGCTGTACTCAAAAAACAAAGTGTGCTTCATCCTTTTCCCTTTTTTAATTTTAAAATGCTATGAATCAAGTGAAAAGCAAATATTTTGGTTATGTGAAGCAAAGATTTTTTTTCTCCCAAAACTAATTCTATAGGAAGGATAGACCTTTCACGTAAAAGCCTCAATTTTCCATTTTACCTTCAAAGCAAAACATTAAATCCACTATGGTCCTATCTATCTTTTTAAATGACTTTTCAGAGATTTTGCTGGTATTGCCTTCCTGCTGTAGCAACTAAGGAACACGAGATGCACAGGAAAGGAAAGAGCCAACGTTGCACCCAGGACAGCTCCGTACCGAGTGTGCGGCAGAGGGATCGGCAGCGAGATGCACAGGAAGGGGTCAAAGGTGTTGCTCTGCTTCTGGCAGTGAGGGCACGTCAGGGAGGACCTGGGACCAACATGGACAACAGGGCACAGTTACACCTCACTTCACTGGGAATGCACAAACCATCAAATCCCACGTTCACCAACAGCAGATCCAATGGGAAACCCTGGAAGGGTTTTGTCTTTGGAGAGAGGTGAAGTTACAGGACAGGGACAGATACAGTCAGCACTGGGGTGCACACAGCTCTTACACAGGAAAAGCTCCAGACAAGAGTCCATCCTCATTCTCCAGAATTCCATTCTCATTCAGAATCAATCTGCACCTTACAATGGCTTTGTGTCTTAGACCAGGCTTAAGGTTTCGCCTTTGCAAAGGAAAAGCTGGCAAATACTGGGGAGGAAGCCCAGCAATTTTAACTCTTACAGCAGTACAGGCACAAGCCATCAAGGAATACAGGTGATTCAACTGTTCAATTCCAGTAGCTCTGAAATTAGAAAGCTCTCTTCCCAGAAAGAAGGGAAACTCAAGGGAAAACCCTGAAGGGACAATGGTAACTTCAGCTCAGAATTCCCAAGTGCCAGATGACAAGCACTCTGCACACACTGGGGATCCCTCACTCCCAGGCACCTCTAGATCCTGCCATGGGCTTTCCCTCTGACAGTCAGGGTGAGCCCCACAGCACTAGGCTTTCCTGAGCCTTTGCTCGTGAAGCTGACTCACTCTCAGGATGCACAGGAACAGGTGTAGTGGTACATACTGCAGATTTACACAGAATATACCAATTCTGAAGCAGTGAAATTCACTCTTTCCTCTAGAGCAAGGTCTTAGTTCAGAAGGAATTCAGAAACAGTTGTTAACACAGTGATACCAGTCCCAGCTGTACTGGGGGCTAGTGTCAGTTTAGAATTATACTGGGGTCAGCCATACATTCAACAAATTTACAAAATACCATACCTGTACTGGGCTTGAAAGAGTTCCTGCACAAAAGTGCTACTGATGGGAAAGGCTGGGCCCTCAAGCAGCACATCATCCTCCAGTGGCGGCTAAAAGAGAGGAACAAACCTTGAGGCACACCCAGGTGCGGGGAGTGCACAAAGCAGGTGGCTCCAGAACCCCAGTCAAATTTTACTTTCCTTAGGCAAAATCACTGGAAAAATGCCACAAGCATTTTTAACTGCCAAGCACACTCTGCTCCCAGGGGTGGGCATACAGGAAGGTGAGGAGGGCAGGGAAGGGCATGGGGCTGGTAACACCTCCTGGCTATTGCAGAGCCACTCAAACACAACTGCCTCAGGGAGCACTCGCTAGGGATTATTGGAACAACATTTCCAGGGCAGAAACAAACATTATTTTAACCCACGCTTTTGTTCCACCTGAACTACTGAAGTTGAGGAGCCAGTGGGGAAAACTACTGTAAAAGGAAAGCCTGTGTGCAAAGTTAAGACTCCCACACTGTCCCCCAGCAGAATCCCTCACCTTGAGTGGAGGCATGCCACCGGAATTCACCACGTTGTTCAAATCCTCGTGGACTCTGTCAAGCAGCCAAAGCAGGAACTCCTGGGCATCGTGCTGGGCGTTGCCACGGTACTGCATCGCGTTCTTGGACACAATGTTCTGCCCAGAGAAGAGACAGTGCAGCACCAGCCAATGCAGACCCGAGCCACTCCATCCCACCCACCCCTGCCTCACAGCACCTGACACTCCTGCCCTCATGAAATCCTCTGTTCAAGCTGAAGCAAAACAACGATTTAATTTCCTAATGCCCACACACTCAGTCTTGCTCATTGTGGTTTTGGTGAGGTCACACATCTCCCAAAACTTTGATGCAGGTGTTCAATGCTAATCTAGGTCCACAGTTCCAGGACTCAGCCAGGATCAGGACATCTAAATCACAGACGCTTCTACAGTCTGATCATCATCATGCAGGTAGAGCAAAATTACTTCCCATCAGCACCCTGCCAAGCACAGGAGTAGCACAGGCCACCATGGAATTTTTTCCACTGGGTATCAAGACTCCACTATGCATAACTCACTCATCCTAAACACTCTCTCCTACTGCCATCCCAGCCAGGGAGATGCAGCTTTCCCTGGACACAAGAACCATGGCACCCCAGAGCATCCAGTGCTGGAGCAGCACCCATCCCATGCTGTGCTGCACCCACCTCCTTGGCACACCTGCGGAGAGAAAAACTGCTCCCACAGGACTCTGACCGGGTCCCCAGGAGGGACAGTGCACGAGCAGAGGCCAGACAGGACCTGCAGGGCAGGAATGGGTGGGAAGACTGCAGAGTCCGGGCCCAGAAGGCTGCACAAGCACAAGCACCTCGTGCCAGAGCTCCTCCACTCCTCTAATCAGACTTTGCAACAGATTTGAGAAATGAGGTTGGGCTGCTCGCTTTATCCCTCTGAAAATGGGGTCACCGGGGAGCAGGGTGGTGATGAAACACGCAGGAAACGACTGATAAACATATACGCTCTATGCTCTATAATCCGTCCACTGTCTCAAGGCTGCAAAATAATGGGAAACAGAAATAATCTGCTCTCATTACGTATGTGCAGGCCTTCTGACAGCAGATTTACTGCTCTTGCTGTGCAGGGACCAGCACTCTCCCACACAAAGTATGTGCACACAGCTTGAACCATGGGACTGGTTGCTAGCCAACACTCTGTGCCACACTGGTGTGACCCCAGCACCTCTGCTTGGTGTCCAATGTAATCCTCATCTTGGGATGCTACTGAAAATCTTTTCATGGGGGAGAGAAATTTGAAGCAGTCTGTGGGCACTTGAAGATTAATGGAGACCGAACAGCTTTCTCTGCTCCTAGCTCCTGTTAAGCAATGCAAAACCCAGTGGCAGGAAAAAAAAATATAAAATACAATCCATAAAATGGATCTAAAAATGTGTCTTCAGGTACCAGCCTGATACCTCTTGCCCTTCTTCAGCAAAAAGGTGAACTGAATGCACCCAGTCAATTATGCAAGGAAGAATGTAAGGCATACATGTTGAGACTTGCTTTGCAAACATTAACTTTGTTCAAAAAAACCTACACTGAAAATTCAATTTAGCCCTTAAATTAGTGTGTCAAGTTTCAAACTGAAAATCAATCACTAACACGTGAAGCTGAGATTGCAGTCCAGCCTAGTGGTTACCTCATACATCTCTCCAGAACCCTTCCATGCTCCTACAGTAACACACTTGAGTTGTAGCAGCTGTGCCCATCCTTCCCAACCCACCGTGCCCAGCTCAGCGCCAAGGGATCGTATCCCTTACTCCCGCCGAGGGAGCAGGGCTCCAGCAGCACTCGGGCACAGCAAAGCCAGGCTCATTCTTCTCAGTGAGCTGACCAGAGAGCCAAGGGAAAGACGTGCTGAGACAGCAGCTGTGTCCCCTCTGTGCCAAGACACGAGCAGTGGGATGGGAGCAGGCCCTGATGCTCTCCCATCAGCCAGAGCCAGCAGCCTCATCTGGCGTCCTCTGTCCCAGCCAGCTCAGCCAACAGGCACTGTCACTGCACTTCTAGGGCCTGTCCAGACACAGCTGACGATAAAAGGCTCCTGGCATTGCTGGGAGGAAGCAAATCCAGTATTTAAAGTGAAAAGGAGACGTGGAGGGGCTCTGTACAGAAACACAAGGACTTTGGGGATCCAGGCTAGTAGTGTTTGTTACTGCCTCTTCCCCAGAGGCACAGCACGTCACTCCAGTCCAGAGCTCCCTGGCTCTTACTGATGTGTGTCCCTGGGACGCAGTGCCCCCAGAGAGGGGCAGCCAGTCTGTACCAATGCCAAGCACAGTGAACCCACGGATGCACAGCAGTCACGTGCCCCGCTCCGTATCTGTGCCACTGCTCGGCTCAGAAGCATCTCCATGATAATTGCTCTGGTTTTCTCAACACTCTCGCAGCCTGAGAGGACTAAGGAAAAAGAGCTGCCTGTGGAGACACATCACAAGGTGTTGGAAGTGATTCAGGAAGCACTACAAAATATCAGATGCAACTTCCTCACAAGAGGCTCTACTAAACAAACACTCCAGCACCAGCAGCACGTTCCCAGCGTCACTCACACCTTCTGCCAGCTACAAGTGGGTCCATTACTGCCGAAAGCCCTGCTGCTGGTGCTCCAGGGAATGCCATGTGCCCTCCTCCCAGCTCATGTCAGGGGCTGAGGCAGCAACCCCAGACACACAGGGTGTGGGGGGAACAAGGGACACACAGTCAGAACACTCAGCGCTGAGGGACATAATTTCATTAAGAGAGATAGAGGTGCCAACTCAAATGAACAATTTAACAACTGAGACAAATACCAGGAACTCCTAAAGGCCCCCCAGTCTGATGGGTCAGCACCAAACACAGCCTCACACACCTCCCTGTTCCCTGGTGGGCTCAGGGCAGCAGGCAGAACACCATGGGGGTCCCCACAGCCCTGGGCAATAGACAGGGCTGCACAGCAGCTGGGGGTCCCCACAGCCCTGGGCAATAGACAGGGCTGCACAGCAGCTGGGGGTCCCCACAGCCCCGTGCTATGGATGGGGGACCGCAGCCTCTCAGCAGCCAGACTGGCCATCCCTGAACAGAAGCAACGTCCCTTTCTTCCATCCTGAACAGCTCAATAATAATTCATCTACTGCTCTAAACAGATACAATAAATAGACCAAAACAGAGCTGAACTACTGGCCTCTTCTTTGCTGCTATTATTGACCCAGATCACAAAGACAACTAGAGGAAAAATGCCAGTCTGCTACTTTGCAGTGTGGCCCTGCTAGGAAGCAACTGTGGAAGGATTCTGCACATGAACAGATAAAGTCAGCTCATCAGAGACCTAACCCAATGACACACATGCAGAGGAGAGAAAAGCTATTCTTTATCTCCTATTGAACAGTGAGCTATGCTCAGGCATGTTCTTTCTCTTTCTTAAGCCCACAGCCACAGTTTTGCGTTTGAGAAGCTCTACGGCAGACAAGCACTTACTGAATTACCCTCTCTGCTCACACACAGACAGCTCTTTCCCCTCTCTGGAGATGTTCTACTCTGGGGAGACCAGTACCCAGCCAGCAGCGTGGTTCAGGCCCCAGGGCTCAGGAAGGGAGCTCCTCCATTCAGGGGCAGGTCACTGTGGACTTGGCCTTAGCACAGGCATCAAACAGGGAAAAGGGAGCTTTGATGACAGGAGGTCTGTCCCAGCAGCCAGGGCAGGACAAAACACTCCTCCCTTGCCCTGTGGGCATCCAGAGCACCAGGGTTCTGGAGACAGCACCTCACGGGATGTGGCAGCTCCATGGGCAGCCCGTGTCCCCACGCAGTCCTGCCCTGTGCAATGCAGAGGGGAAGAAGCACAGTCCTTATGAGAATACTTCAGGAAGCACAGCCATGAGGAGCACTATAGGGAGCAGCACAGCAGCACCAGAGGGATTCTCCACCACATTTAACAAGCCCAGACAAGAAGCATCATTGCACCAGCCCATGCCTAACACCTCCCATTCCAGCAGCTACTCTCACCCTTCCAGGCTGAAGCCTGTTAATCCTCATTAAGGAGAGAGTGAAGTTTGTCCCGATGATGCTACCTGGGGCTGCTGAGTGTGCACGGGCACAGAGGCAGGTTGTGGGTGCTGTGTTCCCCAGCTGGCACACTCCTCTCCAGGCCCTTCCCAGGAGTGCAGCTCTTTCTGCCAGAAGGCACCGCCAGGAGTCGGCGCTGGCTGTTGGGAGAATTCACCCTTACAAAGAGCAGAAATCCCATATTGTTCAGCAAGAGCTTGTTTTCCTGATGCACTAGTAGAGCAACTGGTGGGATTCAAAGGAATAAGGGACTGAGGAGGGGGAGAATGGCACAGACGTGGAGCAGGTCATAAAGGACTATCAGTAAATGCTGGTGCAGAGGACAGACGGGAAGGCGAGGCCCAGCAGCCCAAGGAGCTCGTGCTCCAGCTGCACACCTGCACCTCTCCTGCTCTCTCCAGGCTCTGCCTCAGGTCCCAAGTTGGACACAGAAACTGAGATGGGGGAATCCCATCATTACCACTCTGAGAAGCCTCCCATTGCACATTATAACAAATATTCACTTCAGTGACACAGCCACATGCAAACAAGTTCTTTGCAAAGCAGTGCTTTGCTCAAACGGCAGGAAGAATGGGTTCACTCCAATGAAGTGTGGCCACACAAAGCACAGGGCAACACAGATCCAATTAAGCTGCCTGGGAACATGCGTCCCCCACACCGCTTCCACGGGCTGCCAGGCACAACACAGTTCTCATACTTTCAGCATGTGTCATTTTGCACAAGCAGCACTGAAATAGAAACCTGGAAGCTCAGAAGACAAAAAACACATTTTGGCAATGATGTACATTTGCCCCTCCAGCCTCACAGAGGCCCCTGCCAACCCCCATGGCCGCCTGGCAGTGGAGCAGCAGAGCTGTTCCACACTGGGGTCTCTTTCCTGCCTCACCCAACCCTCTGCTCTGGAAAGGAGCACCTACACCACACTTCTGCTGCCCCCTCTAGCAGAACCCCCCCAGTGAGCCACATCCGACCTCTGGACTCTGCTGCTCGGCCTCGGCTCCCCTGCCTTGTGCTGCACTCACTCAGATCAAAGTTTGAACACAGTACAGAAATCCCCAAAAGCATTTGGATTTCACAGGTAAGTCAGACAGCTGCCTTAAAGCAACCAGATCTGCTGCGGGAAACCCTTCCCAGGGGGTGTCGGAGTATGTCTGTATAAAGCGAGTAAAGCAATTGTAAGGAAAAACAGGCAAGAAAATAAGCAAAACAAAACAAACCATACATGCAGTAATGGACTTACATCTTATTAATAATGAACATCAAAAAAAAAAAAAACAAAAAAAAAGAAAAAGGCATAACATGCAAGACTGCCACATCTTTTTGATCCCAGTGAACTGCATTTCTGTGATGTCAAGAACCATCAGGAAGACTATGTAGAAAATTTGTAACTAGCTTTTTGTTTCAAAGGAAAGTGTTTCAACTCCAATTCCCAGAGCAGCCCTAGGACAAACCTCCTCAGTATGATGCCACCACTGAAAGCACCCGGACTGAACTGCAAAAAACACTTCAACATCCCATATTACCTAACCCACTCAAAGCCTCTTTAGAGCAACACAGAAACTGAAGCACCAGGAACCAACAGCCAAGCAACCAGAAGGGCAGGGTGAAGGGTCTCACATTTATTCTTTCATGTCCCTTTCTTCCATCCCTCTCTGCAGAGGCAGGACAGTTTGCTCTCTGCAGAAATATTTTAGGAATAAGCAGTTGACCCTATCCAGAATAAAATAACTGATCCTGCACTAGGCAGAGAGCACAACAATAAAACACAATCCCGGAGATCACATTTGACACATCACTGGCCCCATTAGCAAGGCACAAGGGCTCTGGTGAGCAGAAGGGCCTGGGGCTGACAGCTCCGTGAGCAGGACAAGGCTCCTGACAGCCTCACTGCCCCAGCTGAGAGCTGCTCTCACGCCACCTTTAACAGGAGGCAGAGATCTCACCATGCCAACACTTCCAGGAGCTCCTTCATAACTCAGGAGTCAGTGATTAACTCCCAAAGATGTGTCCAACACAGCTGGCAGATTGCTTGTCCCATAGGGAGATATTTGCACCAAATGCATTCCCAAAACTCCTTGAAATGATTTTCAAACAGCTACCTGCAAATCTCACACCAAACATCACTTTTAACCTGGCACAATAATCCCTGCTCTACCAACAGGGATTCATTCTGAGTTCAGATCCAATTCTGACAATCCAACCCAACTGAGTTCTGGTGACTGTGCTGTATTTGCTGAACATGCTGCAGGTCACAGCCAAGGCCATCTTCTTGTAGGACAAGAAATGCAATCCCAGCTCTGGCGTGCAAAGGGTCTTAGTTAAACATTGGCATGCTTCAGTGCTCAACTGCCTTAGAGCCTCAGAAAAAATCTCAAAACAGTAAGAGCCTCATCATTCATAGAAGACCCACACTCCACAGAAGACAGAGGATTTGCATAAGAACATAATTTTTCAAGCCCAATTAGTTTAAATCAAAATCCTGCTCACCAAGACCCCCACCATCACCTCCGAGTATTGCAATACAAAGGGCACTCTGTCCTCCCTGTCTGACACTCCCAGGAACTTTGCAGGCAGGACAGGACAGCTCCCTGGAAAAAAACAAGCCCAAAGCCCTGCTTATACAATAGATGTTTGTCACCATTGTCACACCATCACAAAGGGGAAAGAGGAAGCACAAGCTGCAATATTGGCCCCTGTTATGAAAGCAGCAGCTTTGTTCGGGCAGGAAAACAAAACCCACTGAGCAATCGGAAGAGAAGGATTGTTAAACAGAAAAGGAGCACAGGACCAATGGGAAAGTCATCCTCAGCAGAGACACCCAGGAACTACCAGCTCTGCCATGGTGCTCCCATTCTGCTCCCAACCCAGGAACCAAACCCTTCTGCTTCCACCTCTCAGTCCAGTCCTTAGGGACCCTTTCCTACAACCTCGGCCTTCTACACCCCCGCGCTCCCCTGCTCTGTCAGCACTCCTCCCCTCTCTGTGCAGCTCTCTGCCAGGCTCTCCCCTCAACCTGCAAATACAAGATGAACCACTTAGCACAAACCAGTTGCTCGAACCGCATTTTCCTAAGTTTCAGCAGCTACATCATTCAGAGATCCGTGACATGGGTTATTTCCTGAAGACCAACTTCAAAAGAGAGAAAACACTACCAAGGAAAACCAGCTGAGGGTAAAAGGCATTCCAAAAATCATCCCTTCAAATGCCCCTGTCCACAAGGACTCTAAGACATGCTTAATAATTTCCTCTCTTCTAAGAGAGAAGCCTACAGATATAAGAATGAGCAAAAAAAAAGAGTATTATCCTTTGTCCTAAAATACATTTAGTACCTGCAGAGAAGTATTTAGGAATTAGCAAGTGCCTTTGCCCAGTTACATTTGGTGCCAAAAGATAAAAAATAGCAAACAAAACAGCACATGGAAAGCATGCTGACTAAAGAGCCTTTTACCGATCAAATAAATATTACTGTCAGTGACTATTACTGTTGGAGGGAAAGCCCAAAAATTACTCTGTGAAAACACTTTACACCCTTAAAAACAATTACATCAAAGCAGATTAGGAATGTTCCACCCACCCTCTAAGCAGAACAAGCTGGGGGGATGTTTTCCTTGTTTTGGGGAGAAGCAACAGTTTCCAGAATGAAAATACTGATCTTTGCCTTTCTCCAATCTAAACCCGTTGTTTACATTTGTAAATAATCTGTGCAAATCTGCTGCTGAGAAAAAGCTGAATTAAAAACTGAATTTAATAGCAGGTTCAGGCAACCTAACTGTCTTTAGAAACATTAATATCATATTATTAGTAATATTACTATTATTAGAAGCAATATTACTATTATTATATATAAGGGAATAGCACTTGACACAATGACACAGTCCTGCAGGCTGCTGGCACCATGCAGCAATGAACTGGATCAACTGGGACCAGACTCCCTCCAGCAAGAGGCTTTTCAAAACCTCCAGGGAGCTGGCAGGTAGGAGATGGATGGGCTCCAGCTCCATCCACAAGCAGAGCAGCGCTCGCTTACCGTAATCGGCGCCTGCAAACAGCAAAGTTCTGTTATCAACACCCGCGGAAATGGCCTTAATTTAATCCCTGGCCCTGATGCTCTTCCTCCTGCTGTCACTCGTATCCCAGCCCTGCTCCCACAGCCTGCGTGAACAGCAGAGCCTGGCCTAGAAAGAGAGCTGCTCCCCCTTCTATCAGCTCTGCTGTCAGAAGCCAATCATGCTTTCACAACCTTTTTTCCTGCTATTACTCAGGAGAAATCCACAATTTCTTCTCCTGCCACACCACCTCAGGAGCAGTGACAGGTCAAGGTGAGTGCCCTGTGATGCTGCCAAGACTGGAGTCACTGAGTGATCGACTTTCCAAGGGCTCCCCCATAAAGACCTCTCCTGAAAAGACCAGAGCCACACGTGGTCCTCGTGGCAGGCATCCTGAGAGAAGGCAAACAGCCAGGGTCTCCGGGGAATACCCCTGTGGCCAGGTGGGTGCAGCTGCCTCAAAAGGCACAGGAGAAGCAGAGAGAAGAGAGGGAAGAGGTGCTGGCCATGCAAATGACTGAGGGTGCCAAAGGCCACTGCCACCTGAGAGGACTCTCTAGGACATCCCACCATCCAGCAGGCACCAAGGGAGAGTTGGCTTTGGGACCCAGTCTCTACCTGCTACGTACCCCAGCTGAACTGCACGCAGAGAGCCCAAGACTGTGTCAATGTTCTCACTGTTTTCATGCATTTGAACATCTCCTCTGCAAGCCACTCTGCAAGAAAAATACCCCTAAAAGTGGCAGACACTCCCCTAAGTGTCTCTAAGTTCATGGTGGAGGCTACCACCCACCCTCTGATTCTCTCACACAGCCAGGGAGTCTTCTGTGCCAGGAATAATACTACCCCCTATTCCAGCAGGCAAAGCAGGCCTAGGGCACTTTTAAAACAGTTGTGTCTGATTTCATCCAAAGCCATGGCAGGGTGTTTTTACACCACAGGGCAAGGACCAAGCCCTGTGCTCCAACAGCTCCTGGGGCAGGCGCGAGGCCCGGGCAGGGCAGGGGCTGTCGGACGGAACCGCAGCACAGGGGCTGAGAACGGCGGGAGAATAGCACGGGGCCAAACACCAGCGAGTCCAAGCAAGAGAGTCCAAGCAGGTACTCCTGAAACACACTCCCCAAGTCAGCCCAGTCGCACAAGTTCTTGGTTAGCAGACTACAAGGCACAGCTCTCAACAGCCTCCTTCCATGCACACTTGCAACTCCCAAACAACAGTTGCAACTTCCCTAACGGTAGCCCAGTAGAGGAATGAAATGGTAAAATGGGTATTTTCACCAACAAAAACCATCCAGATCCATCAGCCAGCATCAACCACCATGAGCAAACATCACAGTGGCAGCACCTGTCCCACGCCCAGGGCGCTGCCGTGGGTGCCCAGCGTTGTCACCTGGCCAGGGTCTGCTGCTCTGGGACGATGCTGGGACCAGGGACAGCACTCCAGAGCTACGGGCACACAGCTGGCAATGCCAGAGCGTTCTTCCCACCGCGTGGGGGCTCGGACCAGCGGCAAGACACCCACCACGGCTGGTGACCGGGTCAGCCCGCGGTGCCGGTGTGCTGGTGACACGCCGTGTCACGTTTGGAGCCGATGTGAGCCACGGCACCGCCGGCGGAGCGCCGAGCCGCGGACCTCGGGGCTGCTCCCGGCGGCGTGCGCTCGCTCCTCGCCTCGACGGGGCGAGGCCCCGGCTCACCTTGAAGTCGCGGCTGTGCTGCGGGGTGTACTCGAGCGTCCAGAGCGCCCGCACCAGCTGCGCCAGCTGCTCCGTGACCTCGCCGGGCGCGGGCGGCGGCCCGTCGGCGGGGGGCGGCCCGCCGCGGAACTGCTCCAGCGCCAGGAACTCGGCGAACAGCTCGGTGTTGCTGAGGCACTGCAGGATGGCGTTCATGAAGCAGGTGTTGCCGTGGTTGCGCAGCCCCGCCACGCCGGGCACGGCCTCGGCGCTGCCGGCGGGGCGCGGCGGGGGCTCGGGGCTGCGCGGCGGGCCCGGCGGGAAGCAGCTGCCCAGGCCGCCGGTGGCCTGCGGCGGGGGCAGGCGCGGGGCGAGCCCGGCGCGGGGCTCGGGCTCGCTGCTGTAGTGCGAGAGCGTGGACAGGGTCTTCAGCACGCGGCTCATGAACCCGCCGAGCGACCGCCCGGACGGCGCCGGGGCCGGGGCGGCGGCCGGGGCCGAGCCGGCGCCGCCGCCCGCCGCCCTCCCGCGGAAAAGCCGCTTGCTGAAGGAGCGCTTCTCCTTGGCGCTGCCCGCCGGCCCGGGGCCGCTCACCCGCGACATGGCAGCGCGGCGCAGCGAGCATCCCCGCCCGGCGCTCGGCCCGCTCAGCCCGCCCGGCGCTCGGCCCGGAGCTCAGCCCGGCGGCCGCCGCATCCCGCCGGGCCGGGTCGGGCCGCGGCTCCGCCGCCTCACGGCGCCGCCATGCAGCGGGCGGGGCGGGGCGCGCCGCCACGTGACCGCGCCGCCACCTCGGCCGCGGGCAGACGCTGCCGCAGCGCCGCCATCTTCGGTGCTGGCGCGGGGCGGGCGCGGGGCGGGGCCGGGTCCCACCCGGGTCCCGGTGCTGGTCCCGCCCCTGGTCCCGCCCCATCCCCGCCCCTCGCGGGCCCCTCCCTAGTCCCGGTGGTGGTCCGACCCCATCCCCGCCCCATCCCCGCCCCTCCCAGAGCCGTCCGGCCGGGCCCGCACCGCCCGGGCCCGTTACTCCGCGCTCTCCGCGCAGCTCGGGCCGCCGCCGTGGGGCGGCGCTGCGCGGCCGCGGAGCGGGGCGGGGGCCGGGCGGGGCGGTCCGGGGCGGGGCGGTGGCGGGGGTAGGTACCGGGGCGGCCGCCCGCCGCCCCATCGGCAGCGGCGCCGGGACGGGGAGAGCAGCATGGCGCCGCCGGGCCCGGAGGCCGGCCGAGGTGAGGCGCGGCGAGCGCGATCCCCGCCGGGACGGCCGTTCCGGGGATCAAACACCGGGAACAGGGTGGGATGGCGGGTGCCGGGACGGGCGGGACGGGCGCTGCCGCCGCGGTGCGCCGCGGCCGCGGGCGGTGCGCGGTCCCCCAGCCGCCCGCTCAGCGCCCGGTTCGCCCGCAGCGGCCGGCACGGCTCCCGGTAAGAAGATCACGGCGCGGCTGAAGCGGACGCTGCCGGTGCGCGGCCCGCAGGCGCCCACGCTGAGCGAGCTGATGCGCTGGTACTGCCTCAACACCAACACGCACGGCTGCCGCCGCATCGTGGTGTCCCGCGGCCGCCTGCGCCGCCTGCTCTGGATCCTGCTGACCCTCAGCGCCGTGGGGCTCATCCTCTGGCAGTGCGCGGAGCTCCTCATGAACTACTACAGCGCCTCGGTCTCCGTCACCGTCCAGTTCCAGAAGCTGCCCTTCCCCGCCGTCACCATCTGCAACATCAACCCATACAAGTAAGGCTTGGGGAGCTGCTGGGAGGATGGCAGCCCTGCACAGCGCCAGATCCCTTCCCGAGCTCGTCCCGATGCTCCTTGTCGGCACTTTCCCTCCCTACCTGCGGGTTTTCCCTGTGGTGTGCCCTGGTGTGCCACATCCCTCTGTGCCATGTGGCTTACACTCTCACCCCTCGCTGCTGCCTGCTGACCTCGCCTCGCTTCATGCTGCTTTCTGCTCCAGACAGTCCCTGTCAGCTCTTTGGCTCTCTTCAAATTCCCTTCTTCCCAGGACCGAAGTTCCAGGATTACGAACAGCGTCATCTCCTAAAAAATGGAAAGGGCACCTCTCTCGCTCCTCTCTTGCTTCTTTCTTTCCTTATGGGAGATTTTGACATGAATTATCAGCAATACTTTTCCTCCTGTCAAATCATGCTTTACACTGCTCTCTGTTCTGCTGCCAGATTCTCACTCCGGTCCCCATGGGGATCCAGCTCTTTGATGAACTTCACAGATGAAGTCTTATTTCCACATATTCTGTCTCCTCAGACTTCCTAGCATAAGGAACTTGAGAGTCTTGGGAGAATTGTCTCTGTAGTTCAGTCTGCTCTGCTTCCTGGGGTCCTTGCTCCAAGATCCCTCCATGGATAGAGCTGTGTCTGCCCTCACTGATGTGAGAACCTGGTGTGAGACCTCCACGGGGAATTCTGTCCCAAGCCATGGCATCCACAGTGCAGCAGGCAGAGCACTGTGGCTGGGCAGTGAGCTGGGGTGGGATGTCACTGTCGCGTTGTCTCCCGTGCAGGTACAGTGCCATGAAAGAGTATTTATCTGAATTGGACAAAGAGACAAAAAAAGCTTTGGAAACTTTCTATGGATTTTCTGAGGGCAAGTCCAAGGTGCGCCGGTCGGTGGATGACTGGAACAGCACAGGGAGCGAGTTCTTCGAACAGATCCCTCTGCTGAAGGTCGAGGACTTCTCCAGGACAGCGACTGACCTGCACAATGGGCAGAAGAGGAGAATAGAGGGAAGTGTCTTTCACAAGGACTCGTCCATCGTGAACTCGGGCGATTCCAATGACATCATTGGCTTTCAGCTGGTGAGTGTCACTGCCCTGGCCAGCAAGTTCCCTGTGGGGCAGCAAAGGGCTGTGCTGGGGTCAGTGTCCCTGCGGCAGGTGTTATTGCCTGCTCAGGTGGCTTTGCGGTGCACAGTGGTGAAGAGCACCCTGTCTGCTCTTCTGCCTAAGCCTCCATGGCTGCTGCAGAGTCACCTCCTGAGAAGTACCTCCCTGAAGTCTTCCCAAATAGAGTCAGTGTCATCGGTGACCATTCTTTTGGTCCTGAAATATTTGATCATATCACTTAGCCCCGCATTAAAGATCTTTGATGCCCACTGTAACTTCATACATGGTTATTTCTATGGAAGATAAACACTATCAGATGTACAATCCTTAATTTACACCTGCTGGTAGAATCCCTGGTTTCAGTCCATCTGAAATGCTTTTTCTCCTCTGTGCTTGTCAGTGTGATGCAAACAACAGCAGCGAGTGTGCCCTGTACACATTCAGTTCGGGTGTTAATGCCATCCAGGAGTGGTACAAGCTGCATTACATGAACATCATGGCACAAATTCCCCTGGAGACTAAAGAAAAATTGAGTTATTCTGCAGAGGACTTTCTACTGACATGTTTCTTTGATGGCATATCTTGTGACAAAAGGTCAGTGTACAGAAAATTCCTGCCATCTTAACAGCTTATTTCCAAGTCCATAATATGTAGGAATGGAATATTTGGTATTTGCTGAATTCCAGCAGGAGCCACTGCTAGTTCTGTGAATCTGCCTTTTAATGCTATTAACCCCCATTCCCACTTTAAAACTTCGAGTTTCCATCTCCTGAAATATTAAACTAGATCCTACTGCCATGTAGTTTCAAGTTACTCAGAAAGAGACCCACATCTTTCAGCAAAATTAACTCCTTGAAGAGAAGTAAAAAACCCCCCGTGCAGCCCCAGTCTGTCTCTGTCAAAAGCAAAGTCCAAATGTGCTGCCTTTCTTTCACTGACAAACTACACAGAACAGTGTAATGATATTTGATTTCTTCCAGGCACTTCACTCGTTTCCATCACCCCCTCCACGGCAACTGCTACACCTTCAACAGCGGCGAGAGCGGGACCATCCTGAGCACCTCCACAGGCGGCAGCGAGTACGGTCAGTCCCCTTTGCACACCTGGGCTCTTCCAGGGCCCTTTGCACACCTGGGCTCTTCCAGGGCCCTTTGCACAACTGTGGTGTTCCATGGCCCTTTGCACACCTGTGGTGTTCCAGGCCCTTTGCACACCTATGGTGTTCCAGGGTGGTTTGCAGAGGAACTGTTTGACAAGTGGTTCAGGAAACTGGATCCTGCTGGAGCGTGAGCGATGTGTTGGCTGTAGATGTACAGGCTGATTGGAGAAGTGCCTGTTTGAACTAGTGCAAACTCTTACCCGAGAATACAGATAATATCATTGCATCACTAATGTTTTCCAGCTGAAATTACTGCTGCCCAGTTATATAACTTTTTAAAGTGAGTTCCAGCCACGCTCTCAGCAGATGTTATTTGTTTGCTGTACTCAGTACCACCAAGGGATGTTACTGGCTGCAGGTGTCTTGGTCTGGCTGGCCAGAGGCTGTGCTTGGCTGTTACAGTTCTACTTAAGGCCAGATAACATGAAACAAACCGTGCTGCCCTCCCTGACCAGAAAACGTGGCTCTAGCTCCTGGTGTAACTTCCTGCCTTGTCTCTGTGGTTCAGGATTGCAGGTTGTTCTGTACATCGACGAAGCAGAATACAACCCCTTCCTGGTGACATCCACAGGAGCCAAGATCATGGTCCACGACCAAAATGAGTATCCCTTCATTGAAGACATTGGCACTGAAATTGAGACTGCAGCAGCCACCTCCATAGGGATGCATTTTGTGAGTAGCAACAATTTCATTTTTCGGGCACACCTTTGCCTTGGTACAGCTGTAAATAGAAACTGATGGGGTGATTTCAGGGAGCCAGCAGCTCGAAGGCCTTTAAATACCTCCCACTCAGCAGCTGAAGTGCCCTGAAGGAAATCTTGTGACAGCACTTTTCTGAAAAATGGGCCGTGGGAAAATCAGGTCTTTCTAAACCAAACTAGCCTGGGATATTGTTTGTTTTCCCTTCTCTTCCACCCCTTGGCTTTCCAGGGGATTTTTGGTTTTGTTTTCACAGCAAAATCGACAACCACAGAAATGTGTTGTCAAGTGCCTGGTTTGGCTTTGGCAGTGAGCAGGGAGTTTCATCCCACGAGGGTCCCCGGGCCGAGGAGCCAGAGCTGGAGCTGTGGGTCCCCGCGTTGGGGTCGGGGAATGGTGGCAACACAACCCCTTGAACTGTTTTCTGAATGTAAGCCTCATTTTGCAGGTTTCTCTCTGTCCCAGCAGTAAAACTACCCCCGTGGGCAGCAGCTTTGCTTTTGCCAGCTGTGAGCAGAGACAGGGAGAGCTGCAGCTCCTGCTTTCCCCATTTAGTGTAGTTCAGAGGAGGCATTTGGCCCAAGGGGCTTCGGCTCAAAGCTGTGCCAGATCCCCTTTTATCTGGATGGGCTGTTAAGTGAGCACTTCAACTCTGCCTTTCTTTTTGGTGGTCTGGTGGAGCATCAGCCATCCTGCTTATCTGGGTATGCCACATAGTGATAGGCCCTGCATTAGAAAAGACATTAAAAGAGGGCTGCTGTTTTACAAAATGCAAATAGTTAACTGTCTTCCAGCTGTCTGGAAAACTGTGGCGGCAACTCCTTGGCCAATCATGACTGAGAGGTTTGGGAACCAGGATGGTGTGAGGACACAAAGTGTTTTAAAACTCTTCTTTGTCACCATCACACCGTACAGAGAGGTCACACAAGGCAGAGTCTCAGTATTTAATGTAATATGTTCCCAGTACAATAGGGTTGAACTTTTGCTG